ATCATCTGCTAGCAGCAGGCTCCTACCCAGACTGGTTAACACAAGGAAGGATAGTGTTAATCATGAAGACCTCTACAAGGGAACAGCACCGGCCAATACCCACCCTTCCCACAACACGGAAAGTCCTATCCGGCATCATAGCTGCCAAGCTACAGGACCATGTGGGTCAGTAAATGAGCAGATTGAGGACTCATACCATACCTAGGGATAAGAAGGGATTTTTTGAATGTATTGGCTTTGTAGTAATATAGTATAGTATACTACCATATATACTATTAAGGTAGTAATGTAGTTGATGGAGTTCATGGAGAGCGCCCATCTACTGTATGTGGTCACTAGGAGTCAAAAATGACTTGATAGCACATAATCAATCAACCAATCAATAGTTCCTGGATCAGGAGTCCCTGCATTCTGACACTCAAGGTTATTGTAACACATGGGTCTATTCTGGAAGAATATTTAGAAGCTACAGCTGGCACAGAATGCAGATACAGAGACAGTTCTTGGGGCCGTGAAGGTGGTCCATGTTACACTGCTGTTCTGCATGCTGCAGTGGTTGCCAGTTTGCTTCCAGATCCAATTCAAGATGTTGGTTCTTACCTTTAAAGCCGTTCTTGTTATGGGTCCAGGTTATCTGAGGAACTGTCTTGCCTAATGAAATTGGCCTGACTCCGTGGCAGAAAGGGAATGTTTTGAACACCATTGGTTGAGGAATTCCAGTTGGCAGAATCCAGGAGAAGAGCCTTTTCTGCTGTGTCTCCCACCTTCTGAAACATCATCCCCCCCCTGCCTCCCAAGTGAGATCCACACTTTCTGTTTTGGCCTGCCAAATAGGGCTGAAGGCCTGGTTCTGCCAATGGTCTGGGACCCCCTCCCCCTGGTGTGTGTGTGTGTGTGTGTGTGTGTGTGCATGTGTGTGTGCATGTGTGTGTCAGAGGTGGAATTCAAATCCTTGTGCTACCAGTTCTCTCATGCTTGCAGTCATGTGCTTTGCTTTGCACATGCGCAGAAGCGTCCGGGCGAGTGGATGGAGCCTCCCACCACCTCCACTGCCGGTTTGGTCGATTGGAACCAAACTGGGAGTAACCCATCTCTGATGGGTATGTGTGTGTATCATTCTGGAGGTGGTTAAGGGACTAAGAACCCACCTCCGCCCTATGAGTATCTTGTTCCCTCTTTGCTATCTTGGTTAATTTTAAACTCAGTTTTAGTGTTCATATGTATTAGTTTAATGTTTTAATGAATTGTCTTGTTTTTATTGATTGTTAAGCTGCCTAGAGTTGCTTTTAAGGCGAAATGGGCAGTATGTAACTTTAATAAATCAATGTAAATGTGGTTTTTGACAAAGTCAGATGTATGAAAGAGACATTCTGATTTCTAAACTATTGAAACAGTCATTATAGTTAAAGCATTACATTGAATTATGGTTTATGAAAATGTGTAAATTAAGTTTACCTTCTACGGAAGGCTTAGATTCTTACTATTCTGAACTTCTGAGGTGGCCATTCAATGTATTTTTTCTGCCCCATAGTACCAGCTCTTGTGATTCCTTTTCCTATTGGAAAAGCATTGAGTAGTCTTTAATATTATCAATAATGGTTGAAGGCTCCATAATCTTATTGGTTTTACCCAATAGTGATAGAAAATATTGTTATTTGAATAATTAAAATAAGCAGACATCAAATCTCTACTTTGGAAGTGTTTGGGATAAAAAGTCAACTAAAATAGTTATTTATAGATCTATTTATAAATAAATGTCACCCAGACAAAACTATTCATACTTGGTTGTAACTTGTGCCTAAGTTCTCAGGACAGTAAATACAGCTAGTATCTTTGTGTTAATAAAACATTGCCGAGAAAACTTTAAACTTACATGTAATACTATTTTTTTTTCTTCTGCCACATTTCTTCACTGGTATTCTTCCCACGCTCCTTCTTTCCAACACCTCCCTTATTTAGTGTGGCCAGATTTGTCCACGGCAGGCAGAAAATCTGGAAATAACTTTGATCAAATGACACAAGAAAAGACTCCATAAATGCGAAGCGAGTGCTTCTGTAGAAACCCACAGCACAAAGTACCCTCGGTGGTATAATAATTTTACATTTATTTAGAGTTTATATTTATAGTTACTTTTCTTGTATAATACAGTTTATTTTTCTTTTCTCTTGAGTCCCATTTGTATCTTTTATTTGTGATTTTTTTTCTCTTAAAAAAAAAAGATAACTACTTACTCAAATGTATTTTTTTTTAAATAATTTTTTTCCAGAAAAATACCTGCTTGAATTAAACAGCAAGGAATATACAGTCTACACCTAGTATTGAATCAAAGTTATCTTACAGTAAAGTTCCGTGAAGATGGCAAATATTTTTTTACACAAGGGGTTGGCTCCTGAGAACTCTGAGCAAAACGGAGTTTGCAGAAAGTAAGGTCACCACCTTCTCTTCTCACTGTCTCCTTCTTCGTGACATAATAACTTGTCTGAAGGGTGAGGTTCTTGAACAGCATGAATGGGATGAAATTCCTTCTGCCTGAAGTAGGACATCTTCCCTTCCCAACAGAAATCCACTCACACACATTATGCCCTCCAGCCTAGTAAAATAGATGTTGGACACAAAGATAAGACTGAGATATGACTGATCCCAACCATCCATTTGGGTGCATTTGTATTGGAGGGTGGATTTGAACCAGGTCTCCATTCCTATTTCAAAACCTCGGTTAGGATGCCACATGGAGCTTCTGATGGAAAATGTCACTCTGCTACCTTCTTTCTGTTCCTCTTTCTCAGGGTCAATCCCACAGTTTTCAGTTGGTCAACTTTTTTACCTCATTAAAATCAAATAATTAAATTCTGAATGGCATATTTTCCAGGGGTTTTTGTAGATATATACGGTGAGAAAAGGACTGAGGACTATTTTTACTACTACTAGTCATAGTAAATGGAGTTACTTGTGTTAAATGTATAGATTTTTCTGAATAATCCTTAAAAACAATGCAAAGGTCTCACTGATACATCTTCTGAAAAGGCAATGGCTCTATAACCCAATTGATCCAATTCATGAACTTAAGGAAATCAGTTGTTACCAGGGCTTAGATATGGTGGGAACATGTGAGCTTCAGCTTCTAGCATTCCACAATATGACGTCAGTTCCAGCCATCACGGTATCCTCACCATCACCTGATTGTGATTTGAACATTTTATGTATGGCTTTAAAAAATTACAATGTTAAGCAAGCCATAGTCATGTGATCATAATTTCCAATGTTTCCTGCTGGCTTCCCACAAACAAAGTCAATGGGGAAGCTGGCAGGAAGTTGGAAATCACAATTACATGAGGTCCGTCCTTAGCGATCTGCATGGTTATCACTTAACAATTGCCACCAGGACTGTCAGAACTGCTATTGCTAGGTGGCAGAGTCACCTGAACCTGCAGACTGTATTGCTTAACGACGGCAATTCCAATCCTAACTGATGTTGTCAAACAAGGACTAACTGTATTGTACACTTATTGTAGGGCTGTTACCATAACAATTTTTTTTAAAAAAAATCTCCCTTATACTATTCTTTGGGCTCATTTTACAATAAAAAGGCAGAATCTGTGGAAGGCAGCTAAAACAGCTCCAGGTTCATCCCCAGAAAATATTTAGCCAATAATACATGCAGCAGAATCAAGAGCAGAACTATATCAGGTAGCAAATGGAAAACTTCTAGGATAACAATTTCAACTTGCAGATTTTGATGGATGCTCCAGTAGTCTCTAAATACTGTCCAAACATTTTATGACTGCATTAAAAATTGAGTAACACCTAACTTCAACAATTTTCAAAATTGTAACATTTTGGAACTCCAAAGTTCATCTATATACATCACTGCTGAAAGGAGATACATCTAGAGCCTCTCTGCTTAAATATTTTCAGAGATAATTGAAGTAATTCAATGTTCAACATATCCAGAGATAATTTATTCCACTGTCATAACAATAGGAAGTTTTTCTTGATGCTTAGCCAAAAATGGCATTCCCACCCATTCTTGGTAGTTCTGACTTTTTAAACCACGGAATATAAATCTGCTCCATCTTCTCTGTGATACTTGTTCAAATCTGACATTTTTCTATGCTATCTACTCTTACATTTCTTTTTGTCCAGGCTAAACATTTGATACTTTCTGTTGTAACAGTCAATGACTGACATGCAATGTATTTAATAGCAGAAAGTACTAATCACTGATCTCTTGCAGGAATATTGTTTACCACATTAAAAAAAAAAACCTCACTGTTTTCTCAAAGTGGAAAGGATTTTGGGTCACGCTATAGAATGTATCAGCTATTAACAAGGGCAGTGATGGGTGTCATTGCTGTCTACTGCAAATTAAAAGTGAGCCTTAAAACTGCCTTCCAACATTCCCCTTCTAGTTAGATTCTGCAAAAGCAGCTGGTAATGATGGGCTAGCTAGTATTCTTTTTACAAAGCACTGTTTGCATTCTCTATAAACTTTGCTGTGTTAGATTTGTCAACAGTTAATGAGTGATACACAACGTTATGCTGACAGTCTTGAAGGGCTGACATTTCACAGTGGAATGTTGCTGAAAAAAATGAATGATGCCACTAGAAAAAAAAAACATGGAATATCTCTAAAAGTCGACTTCAGTTTCAGGCATTATCCTCAAATGTAGTTTCTGGTGTCATGTTGGGCTCCCCGAATTTTTCTCCATGATCAGTCATCACATAACATGCAAGTTCAGGTAATGATGGGGGTGTTTAAAGATTTGAATTGCTTGTTGTGGATTGAATGGTCAGTCCAAAAAGGAACAATGTTTTTCTACTCCATGTGTTGTTTGACTTATAAGACTCCACCATATTCGTTTGACTTATAACTCTATTGTCTTTTCACTGGAGAAGAGCCTAATGCTGGGAACGATTGAGGGCAAAAGAAGAAAGGGACGACAGAGAATGAGGTGGCTGGATGGAGTCCTTGAAGCAGTCGACATGAGCTTAAATGGACTCCAGGGGATGGTAGAGGACAGGAAGGCCTGGAGGAATGTTGTCCATGGGATTGCAATGGGTCAGACATGACTTCGCGACTAACAACGATTACTGCCTTTACAATAGGAGACAATATTTTCTTTTTGTTCCTGTTATTTGTAAGTGTAATCTGTTGCTCAGTTTGTAGGTTTCATTAATCTGTGGAACCCATCGGCGTTGTGGTCAATCCTTGTATGTTTTGCATGAGAACTATTATTTGGCTTAAATGTAGAAAATATAGCGTTCTTCAAATATTACAAATTTGTCTGCCTGGGCCAGACAGGAATAGCACTTCCAAGTTCTTGAAGGGTCAAATTACTTATTTTGAATCAGACTATAGCCAGCTATTACCTTACATGTCAATAAACAAATACCCTACACATATATATATACTCATCTTTACACATACAGTATATTTATGCCCAGACTTACATGCACCCATATCACTTTGCCCCATTTTTTTTAAGTAGATAGATACCAAAGCCATTTGTAGCCAAACATTTTAGTATCGTCTAATAGAGAAGCTGGAGCTCTCTAGCTCATCCTGTGGATGGCTGGGTAAAACTCCTTTGACTGGAGCTTTTGAGACTCAGGACAAAAGTGGACGAATTGCTTTTCTTGCTGACGCTCAGGTCACATCCTTGCCGAGCTTTTAAGTACCGTGAAGAACAACAAAGGAATCGGTGCAAAAGGTCGTGGAAAAGATGGCCTGTGAAAAGCATGTAGATCCAGGGGTTACAACAGCTGTTCAGACTTGCTAGGAGCGTGGTGATTATGAACGTCCAATCTACAAGAGAGAAAAAATGTATTAGAAAGAATGAAATACTACTGTAAAGTTTCATTTTCATTCATTTCATTTTATTTGTCTTGTATGCTGCCCACTCCCGGAGGACTCCGGGCAGCTCACAACAGACAAGGGAAAGGGGATAAATAGACAAGACAACAGTTAAAAATAAGGCGCAACATTCACAATTTCCGTGGGGCTGGGTGTTTCACCAGCCCTCCGGCCTGCT